CTGAGGCCAAACTCACCAGGCAGCGTCAGCTGCCTACTCCCAAGGTCTTGAGTTGGCCTTCAATGTCCTCCACAAGCCTTTGTTGCAGGACAGAGCCCTGGTGAGAGGCCTGTCGGCCTGGCTGGGGCTCTGGGCTCTGGCTGAGAAGTGTTCTGTTCCCTGTCTGCTGTCCTTTCAGGCCTTGGAACCCGGATCTCCTCAGCCCTCTCCCTCCAGCCTTGCATTTCCGTTTTCTAGAAAGTCTTCCCAGAATAAGCCCCTGAATATCCCTTTTTCCTGGAACCCCAGGTCCCCTCCCATGGCCTTCAGGTTGCCCTGTGTTCTCTGCAGCCATCCTGGTTTTCTTCTGGTTACCAGGCACTTCCTAACTTGCTGAAAGCAGGAATGAGGACCCCTCCTTCCTCTGAATGTGTCACTTTTCTTCTCCATCATACCAGCTCTCTGAGATAATGGCAGTTGCCTCCATTCTGGCCACCTCTGTCCCCCACAGAACCTACTGTCATTTCTTTCATACCATTTGTCAGGTTTTCTGGCCCAGGTGTAGCCTCTGGTTCATTTCTTCTGTAAGACTTGGAGCTTCCAGAGGGTTACAATTGTGAATTGTTTCATTGGTATTACAAGTGTTACATGGGACTAACATATGCACAATTACATGTGTGTGGCATGAATGAATAAATGAATTGCTTTTTTTTTTTTTTGAGATAGAGTCCTCCTAAAAACAAAACAAAAACAAAAGCCAACAACAACAAAAAGAAAAACCGGGCATGTTGGTGCATACCTCTAATCCCAGCACTCTGGAAGCCTGAGGCAGGAGGATCATGAGTTTTAGCCCAGCCTGGGCAATTTAGCAACTTAGTGAGATCTTGTATTAAAAAGGGGTGGGGGGACCTGGGGATGTAGCTCAGAGCAAAGGCCCTGGGTTCTATCCCCAATACAGCCCCCCCCTTCCATAATGGAACAAAGAAAGGAATTGTGTGGCCTTGGTGACTATATTAATCAAGGATTTCAGGGACACAGAACTAAGAGGACACATACACAAGGAAGGGAGTCAGATAGAGATTTATTATAAGAAGGCTGACATCCCAAGTTCTGAAGTCAGCAAGTGGAGTGCTGATGGTGTAGTTCTCATCTGAATGCAAGAAAGGACTGATGTCCCAGCCCTACAGAGGCTGAAGAGACCTCCCCTTACTCACTGGAGAATTGGGCTTCTGAACCTACCAGGCTTTCATCTGATTGGGTGGGGCCCATTCATGCTAGAGAGGGCCAACCACTTTGTTCAGTCTACCAATCCAGCCAGACATTAATCTTTGCTTTTTTTCCCAGTACTGGGGATCAGTAAAACTCAGGATCTTGAGCTTTCGAGGCAGGCATTGTGTCATTGAGCTAAATCTGCTGCCCGAGATATTACTCTTATCTAAAACACCTTCACAGACACACCTAGAATTTTTTTTTCTTTTTTTTTTTTTGGTTTTTTGAGACAGGGTCTCACTATGTAGTTGAGACTGACCTGGAACTCACTATGTAGCCCAGGCTGGTCTCGAACTCACAGCGATCCTCCTGCCTCAGCCTCCTGAGTGCTGGGATTACAGGTGTGTGCCACCACGCCCGGCACACCTAGAATGTTTGACCAAATGTCTGTGCTGTCCCAGGGGGTTAACACACACACTTAACCATTACAGCAAGTTACTGCGTTTCACTGAGCCTCCATTTCATTATCTGTAAACTGGGGTGGGGTGGAATTTTATCTACCGTGAAAGGTATTGGTAGTGGGAGAGATCATCACAGTAGAGACTGTCAAGTGCTGGCACAAGGATCAGTGAGGCTTCAGGATGGTGGCACCAAGAGGCTTGAGACAGTGTGTCTGGGTAGGTAGAGGTCAGTCATTCCCCTCATTCACCAGCAGGATCTGGGGGTTGGTCACTGGTTCCTCTTCTGTATGAAGGTTGGTCCTGAGCTCACTGGGTCCCCATACCCTTCAGCTTCTCACAAGTGTCACCTTTGAAAAATCTTTCTTCTAGGGCCAGGGGTTTAGCTCAGTGGCACCGGGACTGCCTTGCAAGTACAAGGTCCTGAGATGAATCCCCAGTACAGGGTGAAGGGGGGTGTCTTTCTCCTGATGTTTTCCTACTTTTGTGCATGCTCTGGAAGAGGTGGCTGGTCTGTAGAGCAAGCATCTGTCTCTTTTTCTAGGCCCTGCAGGGAGTCCCTGGCTACCCAGAGAGAAGTACTCATACCTGGGACAGAGGCAAGGGCTGAACCAGAGCACATCCCTGGGGAGGAAGGAAAGGGTACCAAGAACAGATGAGAGGGAGGAGGCGGATGGGCAGTTGCATTTGGAAGAACAGGAGGGAAGAGAGGCCTAAAGGTTTGGGTGTGACAGTGGTGTGCTGGAGCCAGCTGGTACTGATACTTAGGAGCCTATTGCACCCCTGGTGATAAAGATGCAATCATTCAGCCACGTGTGGCGGTGTACACCTGTAATCTCAGCACTCCAGGAGGATGAGGCAGGAGGATTGCAAATTGGATCCCAGCCTGGGTAAATTTAGTGACTTAGTGAGACCCTGCCCCAAAATAAAAAATATTTTTTAAAAGGTTGGAATATAGGTTAGTGGGAAGGCCCTGGGTCAATCCTCGGTCTTGGGAAAAAATGATGCTGAACGGGGAACATGTTTTAGTAAGCCAAACTTACTGGTGGAAAAGTTTTTCCCCATTCCCTCAATGTGTCCAGGCTTCAGGAATTTTCTTTGTTCTCAAGTTTGTTATTTCTACCTCCCACCAAATGTAAATGGGACATAGCTCTGTGCACTGAGCTTGCTGTCTGTACTATCTGTTAAGTGATGAATTCGCTGGACCCAAATGACTTGTGCTCTATGTAACCAATGCAAAGTGCTTACCTCCTGCAAGCGCGCCCCCTCCGGAGAGTATAACCTGTCCTGCTTGACCCCAAAGCGGGGTCAGTCTCTTTGTGGAGAAGTCCCAGACTGACCGCCTGACGCTAAAAATAAAACTGTACACTTTGCCTCCAAAACTGCTGGGTGCATCTTCTATTCTCCTGGACTACCTGTCTGTATGTTCTCTCTGGCACTTCGCCACTACAATGCTATCATTCATTCATTCTGGACTCTGAATTCAGTGGTATCCTGTAGGTTGAAATTGGTACGGTAGAAAGCTGGCAAAAATGCTACAAATCAAGCTGGGCATGGTGGAGCAACCTGTAATCCCAGCACTTGGGAGGCTGAGGCAGGAAGATTGCTGAGAGTTCTAGGCCCGCTTAGGCTTCACAGTGAGTTCCAGGGCAACCTGGCCTACATTTATAAAAAAGAAGAAAAAAAAAGCCAGCAATCAAGGCAATTCCTTATTAAGACTGTAGGTTAGGCCTGCTACAGGTCAGAAAGAGAATGTTTTTGTTTTTGTTTGTTTGAGACAGGGTCTCACTATGTAGTTGAGACTGAACCAGAGCTCACTATGTAGCCCAGGCTGGTCTCGAACTCACAGCGATCCTCCTGCCTCAGCCTCCCAAGTGCTGGGATTATAAGCGTGTGTCACCTCGCCCATCTTGAGAATGTTTTTGTTTTTGTTTGTTTGAGACAGGGTCTCACTATGTAGTTGAGACTGAACCAGAGCTCACTATGTAGCCCAGGCTGGTCTCGAACTCACAGCGATCCTCCTGCCTCAGCCTCCCAAGTGCTGGGATTATAAGCGTGTGTCACCTCGCCCATCTTGAGAATGTTTTTGTTTTGTTTATTTGTTTTTGAGAGAGGGTCTCAATATGCAGTTCAGGTTAGCCTCGAACTCACTAGGTAGCCCAGGCTGGTCTCAAACACAGTGATCCCCTTACCTCAGCCTCCTGACTGCCTGGATTACAGGTGCGTATCACCACATCAAGTTTAGAATCCTGCCCTTTTCGTGCCACTCAATTAATGTTACCTTAAAAAAGTTACCTATTACTGTTTTGAAAGATAAAGTGTTAGGAAGAAGGGGCTGGGGATTTAGCTCAGTGGTTCCACTGTCTGCCTCACAAGTGCAAGGTCCCGAATTCAATTCCCAGTACAAAAACAAAACAAAACAAAAAAAAGGAGTAAGAGGCATCTTAATCCTCAAATTAAATAACTCAAGAGTGTCCCCTGTTGGAGGCAGCCTGCTAGGCTCTAGCAGCAACTAACAAATCCTGTCCTGGGTTTACCATGGGTGCAGAACCAACCATGCTTCCAGGCAGTAGTAACACAGCAGTAACAATGCAGTCATATTCATACGGGTCACAAAAGACTTTCACGTGCATTATCGCTTGGGTTTCTCACAGCAGCTGTTTAGAGAGGAAATCAGAAAGGAAGTATGATGTCAGAGAAGCAATGCTCAAAATTATAAGCCGCACAAGATCGGGCATGGTAGAGGACCAGGTAGTGCTGCAGTATGAATGTAGCCCTCAGAAATATTAAGCCCCTTTCTCCCGTACCTTTGGGTGGGTTGGAGGTCAAGGATACTGCCCATGAAGTACGTTGGACAAACCCTCGTTTATGCCACCTACTCGGGCGTCACGCATTATACTAGTGTTTGCTCATAGTCTGGTTATGTCCCTGAATTCAGTTTACGCCCCTGAACTTATGGGGATCGATGACTTTTCCCGGACTCTCCGCCTAGCGCCCGGGAACACGTACTTCCAAGGGGCCGATTCACCGCGACACACTTCTCCGCCAAGGGAGGCAACGCAGAGCCCGTTCGGCCCCTCCTTCCACCCCGTCTCTATGGCGGAAGTAATTTGCTGAAGCCAAAACAACAGTCTCGCTGGTGGGAGTGAGTGGACTCGTCCAAATAAGGGGGATACTTCTTACCGTAAAGTCTTAAAGTCACGGCCCGAGGAATAATCAAGAAAAAGAAGCACCCAAGCTTTTGAGAAGGACATGAGTATGTGTTACCTTCCTAAGAGTTTTTAGACGCTGTGGGCAGCGGCAGTGGTGGGAGGCCTCGGCAGAGCCGGGCGCTCCCCAGCCGAAGGCGGCAGGTGGCACGCTCCGCTACGTCACTCACCAGGGCGGTGCGAGGCTTCCGGTCCCGGCTCCGCTGTTGCCGCGGTGGTCTGGCATCTGAAGCGCTGTGTGGTGGCCCTCTGGCTTCTGACCTGTGTTCGAAGAGGTAAGGGGCCGTCCTCGCCGCCCGTCGCCATTCCTGTGCGGGTACCTCCTGCCGCGACGAGCCTAAAGGCGCGCGCCTCGATCTCCTGAGCCGGGTCAGGCTCAGCGCGGTACGCCGCCCCCGAAAAGTCCGAGAAATGGGCTCCTCCGCTTCCCTGTTCTGTGGAGGTCCGGGGCGGGGGGCGGCGGCGGGAGGACGTAACTTTGGCGGTTGTCTCACTTATCGCTACGGAACTCAGTAGTCTTCTGTTCTTGCTTTTAGTCCATTTCTCGCGGCTCAGCGCCGGCGCGGAGATTGGAACATCTCTGCGGAGGTCGTGCCAGGGCTGGAGGAGGAAAGCCCGAGTGACCCGCGCTCCACCGTAGACGCGTAAGGTGGGGAAGGGTTGTCACACTCCAGTCAGCCTCTGCCCCCTTGCAGGGACGCGGCTTCCCAGCCCTTGCACTCCATTGCTCACCGTAGCCGTGTGGCTGAATATCCAAAGGCAGTTGCTCTGGGAACTGGCTGGTTAGGACTGTCTTCTCCCGGGGGAGCGGGTCCTGGAATAACACCAAGACCGAGGAGAGACCCTGAATTGGGGGCCAAAGAAAGGAGGTGTATGGCCTGTTTGAAAGTTTTTTGGGGTGGGGGGACCTAGAAAGGGAAAGTTAAGGAGGAAAGGGAGCTGGACTAGAGCTGGGAATCTCTAGGTGGGAAACTATGGATGGAGTTAAAACTAGAGGTCAGGTATGGGCAAGAAAGCCATCTCACCCTTGATGCAAGAAAAACCAACACAGCAACTCCTAGAAGGACCTAGAATTCATGGGGCAGGATGCATTGCACTAGGTACTAGGAGAAGAGAGGTAATTCCAAGCAAGCGTGTTTATGGTGACTGAGGTGACTTTAACTTGTAGAATGAGTGAGGAAGTGATTTTGACAGAAGAGCTGCCTCTGAATATTAGAAAAGCTCGCTTGGGAAAGGTTCAGACATTTTATGTGGGTTCTGATATCAAAATAGAAACTCACTGGTTTGACTCATGAGATAGAGTAACTGAATGGAACAGTTTAAAGGTGGACTAGTCTTTTGTTCCCTTTTCTTGTTTGTTTTTTTGAGAAAGCATCTCATTGTGTAGTTTATTTGCTTTTGTTTGTTTTTTTCTTTCTTTCTTTCTTTCTTTTTTTTTTTTTTTTTTTTAAAAAATTTTTTTTTTTTTTTTTGAGACAGGGTCTCACTGTGTAGGTTGGTCTTGAACTCACAGCCATCCTCCTGCCTTAGCCTCCCGAGTGCTGGGATTACAGGCGTGCGTCACCACGCTCAACTTCATTCTTTCTTTCTTTTTGAGGCAGGGTCTTGCTATGTAGGTTAGGCTGGTCTTAAACTCACTTTGCAGCCCAAGCTGGCCTCAAACTCTTGGCAGTCCAGCCTCAGCCTCTGTGTGCCACCCTGTCTGGCTTAAAGATGGGAAGCAGTGAATTCTCTGTCAGGGCACTTTGCAAGCTGAATACACAGCTATGAAACTTGTCCGTTCCTTTTTTTTTTTTAACTTGCTTTGATGTACTATGGGCATGCTAGGCAAGCACTCTGCTGCTGAGCTAAATCCCATTATGGACTCATATTTGATTACTTACTAAGTTCTGCTTCTCACCTTCCGCCACTGCTGTAGTATGACGTGGCGTTATCTTTAGGCAATAACGTAATAATGAATTATAGTGGCTAATGCTTAGTAAATGTTTGTTTATTTAGTACTTGCCAGGTTCTGCTTCAAGTGTTTTACACATGCTAACTCATTCACTCCTTGAATAATCCTTTCAAGGTAGCTGTTATTACTGTTTTCCTTTATAGATGGGGAAACTGAGGCACATAAGTGTTAGGCAGCTTGTCTAAAATCACACAGGGAGTAGTGACAGAGCTGGAGTTCCAATCCAGGGTATCTTTGCCTTTTGAGTCATTATTCTTCACCAGTATTCTGTTTTTTACATGTATTTTTTTCACTAGTCCTTGCCACAATTCCTATTTTATTTTTATTTGCATATTTTTATGGTTCTGGGTATTGAACCCAGAGCTTTTGCACTGAGCTGTACTCCCCCCCCTTTTTTTTGAGATAGGCTCGCACTAAGTCAGTAAGTGCTCAGGCTGGGCTTGAACTTTCTATCCTTCTGCCTCAGCCTCCTAAAGTATTTGAGGCATGTACCACTATATTTGGCTCACAAATCCCTTTTTATAGGTAGAAAACAAGTTCAGAGAGGTTGGCTAATGTGCTTAAGGTCCCAGTGTGTTAGTCATTACTATAACAAAATACCTGAGACAACAACTGGAAAGGAGCAAAGATTTATTTTGGCCCATGGTTTTAGTCCATGGTCTGCTGGCTCTTTTGCTTTTGAGTATGTGGCTAATAGAACATTGTATTGGGGAGCACAAGTTGGAACAAAGCTGTTCACCTTATGGCTGCTAGGAAGCAAAAATAGGTAGTATCCCCTGCAAAGGCATGGCACTAGAGCTTAGCTTCTTTTCACTAGGCCCTACCTCTAAGAGTTGTACCACTTCCCAATTAGCATTACGGACTGACAACTAAACCTTTAACACATGGTCTTTGCGGGAGTTTTAAGATCCAGTCTATAACAGAGCAAGAAGTAGGAGAGCTGGGTGACATGGCACACACATGTAATTTTAGCTACTCAAGAGGCTGAGGCGGGAGGGTTGCTTAAGAGGCCAGGAGTTTGGGGCTGGCCTAGACAACATTTATGTATTTATTTTTGTGGTGCTAGGAATTGAACCTAAGGCCTCTGCATGCATGCTAGGCAAGCCCTGAACCACTGAGCTATATCCCCAGCCCTTTGAGGCCCTTTTTTGTTTGTTTGGTTTTTTAAGACAGGGTCTCACTATGTAGTTGAAACTGACCTGGAACTCACTATGTAGCCCAGGCTGGTCTCCAACTCACAGCGATCCTCCTTCCGATCTTCCTGCCTCAGCCTCTGGAGTGCTGGGATTACAGGCGTGCACCACCACACCTGGCCTGGCAGAGGCCCTTTTAATAAAAAGGGACCTCACCTGATTAGGTTGCCCCTGTAACTGTTATGACTATAGTGACCTCAAAGGGTTTTCTTGCCCAACCTCTTTGCCTTAATTCATCCATTTTTATACTGGAGACTGGATGGCTCTGAAAATGTATGGGATTTGGTGTGTGTTGTGCACAGATTTGTTTGTTTTTTGAGTCTCAAAAAAGGCCAAAGTCTGGTCTTGAACTCACTGTAGAGACCAGGCTGGGCTTGAACTTGCAGCGATCAGCCTCCCAGATGCTGAGATTACAGGCATATACTACCTTGCTTGGCTCAATTCAGGTTTTAAAGCCCATCTTACATGGCTTTCATTGCCTTCTCAAAGCAACTTGGGTCAAAATAGTTAGGACCCATCCTTTTTTTTTTGGTACTGGGGCTCAAACTTGGAACCTCATGCTTTCGAGGCAGGCAGTGGCACCACTGAGCTAAATACTGAGCTAAATCCCCAGCCCTATTTAGGACCTATTCTTTGACCTTTAGTCAGAGTTGACTTTCTCATGCACAAATTTGATCTTGGTATGGGTTGCAGTGACTCTTCACTGCTTTCAGGACAGAGACTTAACCTGGTAATACAGGGTCCCAGGAGACTCTGGGTCTTTCTTTTCTTATTCCTATCTCATCCTCTCACCACAGTGGGAACATTTACCTGCCCATTTCTCCCGTATCCCCTTAGCTCCTGGGGCTAGCTTAGTGCTCTTGACAAGTGCTGCACAAGGATCCTTTGCTGCTTGCTGCACTGAATGCTGTTAATGGAATGTAGGCCTCCACTGGCAGTTTGCGCTAGCAACATTGAAGCTTCCCCTGCCTTTTGATTGAGAAGGTTTGTGATTTTTCTGATGGTATGTGCTTCCAGCGCATAGGGGACAGCAGAGGCAGGGGCTGAGCTGAACTGAACAGGAAGTGAACGGGGACTGTGCAGGTGGTTTATATGATGTCAGCATTCTGTCCTGGGCTCCTTTTGCAGGCGGCCCCTGGGTGGGGCGAAGCTTCCTGTTTTTATCCTGGGTCCCTGTCCTGGTGTTGGCCACTGGCTGCAGGATGAACTGTCGCTCCGAGGTGCTGGAGGTGTCGGTGGAGGGACGGCAGGTGGAGGAGGCCATGTTGGCTGTGCTGCACACGGTGCTCCTGCACCGCAGCACAGGCAAGTTCCACTACAAGAAGGAAGGCACCTACTCCATCGGTACTGTGGGCACCCAGGATGTTGACTGTGACTTCATTGATTTCACCTATGTGCGCGTCTCCTCTGAGGAACTGGACCGTGCCCTGCGAAAGGTTGTTGGGGAGTTCAAGGTAGGAGTATGGTACAGCTGATGGTAGGCAGTTGTAGGTGGAGCTGGGATGTCTCTACCTAGGTTGCCTGTACCTGCTTACCCTTCCTAGAAGTGTGGATTGGGTTCTTTGGGGCAGTAAGGTACAGGCTTGTTGAGAGCTGTTATTGGGTAGGAGGGCCTATGTGTCAGGGTAGG